GCGGCCACTGTGCTCCAGTCTGGGCGACAGAGTGAGACTCCAACTCAAAAAAAAAAAGAATTCAGTCTCTGGGGCCAAACTCGAATTTCAACCCCCTACCCCCTTTGCCATTTCTTACCGCAGATCTTTTTTTTTTTTTTTTTTAGTTGGGTGTTTCACTCTTGTCACCCAGGCTGCAGTGTAGTGGCACGCTCATGGCTTCTGCAGCCTTGACCTGCGATCCTTCCACCTCAGCCTTCCGAGTAGCCGGAACTACAGCTACCACGCCCGGCTAGTTTTTGTGATTTATTGTAGAGACGAGGTCTCGCCAAGTTCCGGGGCTGGTCTCGAACCCCCAGACTCAGGCAATTCTCTCGCCTCAGCCTCCCAAAGTGCTGGGATTAATGCAGGCTGAGCCACCACACCCGGCCACCCTGAGAACTTTTGGCAAGCATTTTGACTTCATTGAGCCTTAGTTTCTTCATCTATAAAATGGAGGTACCGCCGGACTCGGTGGCTCAGCCTGTAATCCCGCACCTTTGGGAGACTGAGGTGAGTGGATTGCCTGAGCCCGCGGGTTCGAGACCCGCCTGGGCAGCGAGACCTCATCTCTATAATAAATAAAAGAATCAGCCGGGCGTGGTAGCGTGCGCCTGTAGTTACGGCTACTTGGAAGGCTGAGGCGGAAGGATCGCCGGAGCCCAGCAGGTCGAGGCTGCGGTGGCCGGGAGCGGCCACTGCACTCCAGTCTGGGCAACAGAGTGAGACTCCGACTCTAAATAAATAAATAAATAAATAAATAAATAAATAAAATAAAAATAAAATGGAGGTACCAGTACCAACCTTGAAGAATTGTTATGTGGATTAAGCAGAATCAAATGCATAGATTTTATGCACACAGAATATGTTCCTGGTACATAGTGTGCGCATTATGTAAATAAGTTTCTCTTCCCCATTTCCTGACCACCATGAACTCAGCTCTAGTTTCTAGCCACTGGTCTCCATGACAACGGCTGAGGAAGAGCACCCAAAGAAGAAGAAAAAGACATTTGGCCAGATATATGAAAATGTAATACCTATCACTGAAGACTTGAATAAAAACAACGAGACTCCACACTATATGTAAAAATACAACTTTTATTCTGATACATGGACCCTGACTACAGTGGGACCTGTGTCCCCAGCCTGTCTGGAGAAGCCATTTCAGGGCCTAAGTAACACCATTCCCTTTTCCTGAAATAGGAGGAAATTGTTCCCAAAGGAAAAAAGACCAGAGAGCTCTGTACAGAACCTGTCTTCCATATGTTGACTAGAGGCAGAGGGTGGGGGAACCAAAGAGGAGTCCAGTTCCTCCAACAAATGGTGAGGGCTTCAAAGAACTTCCTGGACGTGTTTCTTCTCATCTGGACTTCAGGGTTGGGAGGTATCCAGAGGTCCAAGAACAGAACAGGGATGGGCAACCGTGAAGTGTTTGTGTATGGAAAGCTCTGACCTGTCCCTGTCCTATTTCTAGGCTTTCAGGAGAAATTCACAGCCTCAGAGGAGGGCAGGAACTTGGTTGACATTTTCTTTCCAGTGTTCACTCTGAGAAACTGAGTTTTCTACCTACTCTATGTGCTCTTTGGCCAATGACTCCACTCCCAGGAACAGGATCTTGTTAAATTTCTTAGGAATCTTCTAAGAAATAAGTGCTTTGTGTCTGAGACAAGCTCAGGTAAACCAACCAAGGCTGTGTCTCCCAAAGTCAGAAAGAGAAGCTGGAGGGCCAAAACCTGTAGAGCTGGGCACTGCAGCTGCTCAGGCTGCAGAAGAGGCAGATGGTCGAGACCCCAGAGATTCAAGACAACCTACTGGTTTCCTTTGGCCCGAGCTCTTGGCCCTAATCACAGTCCCTCACCCTTCCCAGGGTTAGCCTGTGTTTCAAATGCATAAGATCGGCGCTGGGGGGACAACAGGGTATCAGGGGGCTGGGGTTCTCTGGGGGGCAAACTAAGACGACTCCGGGATCCAGGCCCTTCTGTGCCTTCAGATAGGAGCTCCAGGCAGCTAAGGGGCCGAGGAGAATGGGCAGGGGTCATGCTACAGGGGGATGCTCTGGGAATCAAGCTGTAGTCACCACCCTCAATACAGGTCTGGGTCCGCCGAACTCCCTGAGCCTCAGTCCTCTGGCGGTCTCGGGCTAGGGCCACAGCAGCATCAAAGGAAAGACTGCCTCCATTCCTCCAAGAGGACCGAGAAGCTCGGGACCCCCAAGCCCTTTCCCCAGGAGTCCCATCAAGTCGACCAGGCCTCGGACTTGGGTTTGCAGGTGCCACGTGGATCTTGCTACACATTGCACCGGGCATCTTGGCAAACTGTGGTTTGGGGGGCACCACAGGCACAGAGCGGACTTGTTGGACCTGAACCAGGGTAGAAGCCAGGCGCATGCCCACACCACCTGCCAAGCCAAGAGAACAGGGGCACAGACTACAGCCCTCTGGGCCGAACTGTCCCTCAGGCTCCATGTCCTCTGGCCGGGGTGGCTGTGGGGCCACCTGTTCCATCTCAGAAGACTGGACATTGCCCTCTTTGGCACAGACAACCCCCAGTGACTCTACACCTGGACTTTCAGAGAGGGCACCCTCTACTAAATGGTCATCTCCAGCCCTCTGGTCACCCTCAGCCTCTCCATCCCCACTCTCCCGTTCCTTGCTGACCTCCCCTGCTCCTCCTTCGGCTGCTGCTTCTGGGTCTCTGCTGTCTTCACCGTCTCCTTGGCCTTCTCTTGCCTCATGGTCTCCATCGCCCCTCTGTCCCTTGATCTCATCCTCCCTGACTTCCTCGGCCTCTTGTTTGTGTACAGTGTCCCAGTTTTCCTCGGCAGCTTGATGTTCCAGGTCCCTTCCAGCTTCTGCCTGGGCCTCCTCTCCCCACTCAACCTCTTCTCTCTCAGTGTCTTTTTCTTTCTCCTCAGCTTTATCCTGCTTCCCTCCTGGTTCGTCCACACCCTTAGCTTCCTCCATACCGTCAGCCTCTTTCTGACCTTTGGGCGTCTGTCCCTCGGCCTCTGTTTCTTCCCCACTCCCTTCGCTCAAACTGACCACTGTCTCTTGGCTTTGCCCAGCCTCCTCTCTGTCCGCACCGGCCTTTCCAGCTTCCGCCTTCGTCTCTGGACTCCCCTCAGCCTCTTCCCTAATGTCCAGCCTGCTTCCAGGCTCAGCCTCCTTGTCCTTCCCAACTTCCCAGAATGCCTGCTCTTTCTCAGACTGCCCTGGAGTCTGCCTTCCACACCCTGCTGCCTCTTCCTCGAAACTCCCTGCATCCTCCCAGGTTGGGGGTTTAGGACCCAGAAGGGGACTTAGGTCATCATAGGCACTCAGAAAGACTTCCTCCCCATTCTCCTCCTCTACTTCAGGCTCGGGGCCAGCAGAGCCCTGGGAACAGCAGGTGGGAGCCAGGACAAATTGTGCATCATCCAGGGACAGGTCATCCAGGGGCGGCTCCACAGAGAACTCCTCCACCTGCAGGTACGACACTGCGGCTCAGGACCAGAGGCCCATCCACCCTCCGGGCTCTGTACCACCCCAACCCCAGCACAGCTTCTCCTTACCTGGGGCCCAACTCCCAGGAGCTCCTCCAGGTAGCCCATCCCAGGGTCGTCCTCCCCAGGGGAGAAGGCTGCTCCTGCCGCTTCTGCCTTGGCCACCTCCCCATCCTCCGCCCCTACCCACTCAGGCTCTGAGCTGCTTGAGTCCTCTAGGAAGGAGAAGGAATCCTGCACCTCCTGGGACAAGGAGTCCTCCAAGGCAGGAGCCATGTCCGCTGGGCCAGAGTCTGCCAGGGGACCTGGGGCTGGACTTGCCTCCGACTTCTCATCTGTTGGGGAAGAAGTTGTTCCAGGAATACAGAGGTCAAAGCCAGCTCAGACCCTTTCCAATGCAGGTCTTCCTTGCCTTGATGTGATAGAGCCCAGTACTCCCAGCATGGATCCTCCACATGGGTGGTCACCTCACAACAGTATCCCTACGTATTGGGTTTATTGAGCCACTACCAGGTGCCAATCACTGTGCTATACATTTTACAATGCATCGTCTTATTCAAAACCAGTGTGGGTTATGTGGGGTATTGTCCCCATTTTTTTTTAATTAAGAAAGGTTGTGGGTTTTTTTTTTTAGAGATGAGGTCTCGCCAAGTTGCCCAGGCTGGTTTCGAGCCCATGGGCTCAGGCAATCCTCTCACCTTGGCCTCCCAAAGTGCTGGGATTATAGGCGTGAGCCACCATGCCTGGCAAGTCGATTTATTAAAGGGAAGACATGCTGTGAAGGGTACAATGGGCAGAACAGCAGCGAAAATGTTTGCTGACTGCCTGTCCCCATATGAGGATGCTGAAGCTCAGAGAGATTAAGCAATTAGTCCAAGGTCACACGCCAACAAGTGGTACAGCCAAAATCTGAACCCAAGTCTACTTGACTCTATAGCCTGTGCTCTCACCCGCTATGCAATGCTGCCTAGGACTTCTCATCAGTGACACTTAAGGGACTGGAGTCAGAGCAAGGATCAGATGCCAGCTCTGCCATCTCCTACCTAAATCAATCACAAATTGCTTAACCAAAGTCTCAGTTTCCACTACTGTAACATAGGATAATAATATCTATGTCATAAGATTATGAGAAAAATGGAACAAGCTAATGCCTACAAACACAGCCCTCCCCCTATCACAAGCCCTCGAGAAATGTCAGCTCTCAGTGTTGATGCTACTATTAGTATCACCATCATCTATTATATATTTCTACACTTGTACTTAGTAATCGCCTCTGTCTGTGTCTGACACAGACCCCATTCCTGGGAACGTCACTGATCTGAAGGCTGCCAGAGATCCCATCGATTTCACACACCTGATAATACGACTGCGTTTCCCCAACCCTGAATCCAGGGGGTGCTGAAGGTTAACACCCCAAAGCCCAAGGGCTGTGGCCCCTGCCCTTCCTAGGGCGGATCCTCCAGCCTTAGAATGTCAGCCTAGAGCACTAGTCCCTTTCCCACTCCTGGGAAATCTCTGAGTCCTCACCTGGGGGACCAGGACCCAGGCCGGGGCCAGGGCCAGGGCCAGAGGCAGGGCTTGGCCGGTGCTGTAGAGCAGGACACTCCAGGCCCCGAGTGAGTCTGGCCAAGGAGACATTGGAGATGATGTTCGGAGGCATGCTGAGGATTGAGGTGATGTGTAGTGGGAGGTTGACATTGTAGGGGTCTGAGATGTGGACACCAGCACAGCGCTCTGCCCGGCTGCTGCCTCCCGCCCGCATGGCAGACCGCACAGTTTGTGGTGTGCCAGGTTCAGAGTTTGTGCCACCCAGTGCTTCTGTCTCAGGCTCCTGTTCACCCTCTGCTGCTTCCATAGACTCGTTCTCCAAGCTCTCAGGCAGCAGTGGGCCTGGCCGAGGACTGCTGGGCCCCACCAGCCCCTCTGGCTCTGTGGAGGAATGAGAGGGCCAGGTAGGCGAGAGCTTCAGCTCCAAGGAGGTTGCCACCTCAGGAAGGTTGTGGAGAATGCTCTCTGCATTCTCAAGCCTGAGAGGACAGTCTGGAAGGCACCAGGTCCAGCTTCTCCTGGCCTCTATTGCAAACCCTCCACCCAGTCAGGAGGACAAAGGTCACCCACCCACACATACCTAGGTAGTCCCCTTCCTTCCCTGCAGATACGGTCACTGGCCATCCCTCCCCACCACACACATGCGCACATCCCACGCTTCCAATGCAAGCACTTGTCAACATACTCATAGATTAGACCAGCAGTTCCCAACCTTTTTGGCATCAGGGACCTGTTTTGTAGAAGACAGTTTTTCTGCGGATGGGGGTAGGGGATATGCAGTCAAATCACACTGCTAATGTTAATCTGTATTTGCAGCCACCCCCCAGCGCTAGCATCACCACCTCAGCTCCACCTCAGATCATCAGGCATTAGATTCTCATAAGGAGCACAACCTGGATTCCTTACATGTGCAGTTCACAGAGTTTATGCTCCTATGAGAATCTAATGCTGTAGCTGATCTGACAGGAGGTGGAGCTCAGGCAGTAATGTAAGTGATGAGGAGCAGCTGTAAATACAGATGAAGCTTCAGTCCTCACCTGCTGCTCACCTCCTGCTTTGTGACCTGTTTCCTAACAGACCACAAATCAGTACTGGGCTATGGCTCAGGGATTGGAGACCCCTGGATTAAATGATAAACTCACAACCTAGCATACAGTACTGCGCTGGAGTCTAATAGTCACTCATTAAATTGTTGTGTTTTTTTTTTAGTAGGAGTCTCACTCTGTTGCCCAGATGGGACTATAGTGGCACACTCACAGCCACTGCAGCCTCGACCTGCTGGGCTCAGGCAATCCTTCTGCCTCAGCCTTCCGAGTAGCTGGAACTACAGGCATGTACTACCACGCCCAGCTAATTTTTTTATTTATTGTAGAAGCAAGGTCTTGCCAGATTGCCCAGGCTAGTCTCGAACCTGTGGGCTCAGGCAATCCTCTCACCTTGGCTTCCCAAAGTGCTGGGATTATAGGCTTGAGCCACTGTGCCTGTCCTAAATATTTTTTGAAATCATTGACACAGTTGGTCACATGTACACACCCCCACCAAACAGACCTGGGCTGTTGGTCACACCTACAGAAGCGCACATCTATACTTACCATCACTGGCACCCGCCACAGCACTCAGTGAGTCCATGCTCTTGGCTGGCCGCAGCGTCCCCTTATTGGACTTGTCCTCTGTAAGACAGGGATGTGCATAGAGCCAAGGCCTTGCACACCCTCAGCAGAGCTCCCTCCATCTCCCCAGACTTACCCCTGTCCTCAGCCCCCCGTGGAAGTTTACGCTTCGTCTCGTGGCCAGAGCGACCTAGATTGAAGATAGACCTCCACTTCCTGACCTTCAAAGACCCTTTCCTCCTGCAAAGAATGGAGAAATAACTGGGGATTAGAGCCTGGTGGTCAGCGTAGGGATGGAGGCCCAGGAAGGAGGCCTTACTTGTGCTCTGCAATCTCAATGATAGTGTGGTAGGGCCGGATCTGTGGGGGTCCATCGCCAGCCTGCAGGATGCTAGGCAGGTGGTAAGGCAGGGACCTAGGCATCAGGTCCTCAGGGCTGCCTGACACCCGGATCCCTGGAAGTGATCGCCATCCACTCTCCACCTCACCACCTGGGAAGAGAGATAGACTTGGTCAGCTAGGAACAGAGCTGAGAGTGGGACCTCAGATACTCAGCCCTTTATCATCCTTCCCCAGCTACCAGGCTAGGAATATGCTCAGAGGCCCCTGGAGCTAGAGCCTCCATATCCACTTCCTCAAAAGGGTGTCCTCATGAGCAAAGAGGGCCAGGAGACCCCAGGACATTGGCCGGAGGGCTAGGGGTGGGTAACAACCATCACCAGGCGGGATGGTGATTCAGAGGCCAAGCTATGCCCAGATAGTGGAAGAGGCTTCTCAAGTCCTGACAGCACCATGATCTTTCCAGGGTTCTCTCCATGTGACTACTACCAACATCTCTCCACGAGACTAAGATTTCCCACCTGCAAAATGGGGAAACTAAACACGTTGATCTACGAGGCCCTCTGTAACTGACATGGCTCCAAAGACAGAGCGTGTTGATATGTGGTGGGCAGGAAGGACACTGACCAGAGAGGGAAGCACCCCCAAAGAGCTGGTCCACATGCGTAAGGATGAACTCCACGACGATGGACTGCACACGCACCTCCATGAAGGCCGCTGTCCCGTTGAAGCCTGAGGCCTCTATGTCTTTAGACCTGTGGAGATGTGGATTATTCTCCTCCCAGCCCCACCACACTTCTCCATCCAAATACCCACTGAAAATACCTCCTATGTCTCCCTTGCATGCTCTTAACCCCACCTCTTCCTCTTAAGCCGTATGCAAGATTTTTTCAAGTCTAAATGCCACTTCCTCCAGAAAGCCTTCTTGGACACCCCCGCACCCTATTTCCTTTGTGTACCAGAGTGCCTTGTTTATAGTGAGTTACCAGACTTCTCGTAGTTCACGGGGAGTGATATGCAGGCCAGTTCCCCAATAGACCGTAAGGCATTTGCCCAATAAATATTTGACAAGGAACTATCCCGTTCCAGTCCCTGAGCTCGGTGATTATTTGATCTCAGAGAAGGGGCTCGAGTGGGTAGGCATCCTCCCACTCAACATAATCCTGAACCTTCCTTTCTCATGGGCTTCATGAGCCACACCCCATCCTGAGAGCAACCTCCCAGAGGCCAATCTCTCCGGGATGCTCATACACTGCTCACGCAGCACCCACCTCAGCAGGTTGGGGGCCCACACGATGGCCAGGTTGCGGGCATGCATGTTGGTCTGGGCACTGAACGAGGCCATGTGCACCAGATGCCGCATAAGGAACTCCAGCGTCCTGCAGAAAGTGGGGGCGGGAGTCACACAAGGCACACCAGGGACAGGGACAGGGCTGGGGCTGGGAGCCACAAAGGCCAAGTCAGGGCTATAGGTGAAGAGGCTGCAGGAGAGAAGTCAGGACTCCTGGTGGGGACTGGAGCCTCACACACCTGTAGTTTGGGAGGGGAAGTTCTCGAAGCACCTCTAGGATCTTGACCAAGCGTTCAGGCTCCAGCTGCACTGCTACGGCCTCCTGATTGGGGAGAAGGATATGAGAGGTGGGAGTCAGTGACCCAGCAGTGCCTATGCTGAACTCCCCAGAACTCCGAACCACACCCTCAGGAACAGTCTGCACTGTGTGCTGTACTGCTCCTGCCAGATCTTCTGAGGCACACTGACAGCAGAGAGCTCAGAATCTGAGATCCCCAAAAGATGGCCGCTGAATCTTGGTGATGCTACCTAAGAGCTGTGGTGAACTTGGACAACTCACTACCACTCCCTGCTTCATCACCCTCATTGGTAAAGCTCTGTAATGGGATACATCAGTGATCTCACCCTGTGGGTGCTCCAGCGGCCACAGGGTTGTTTCAGTTAATCCAGAAAGGACTGCAGCCAGTCTAGTCTGTGCCAACTGAGTGGGGTAATGTTGCCATTCAGGGCCTCTCAATGCTGCTGTGCTCCATTAAACGCAGCTTAGGCCAGGTGCAGTGGCTCATGCCTGTAATCCCAATAATTTGAGTGGCCAAAGTGGGAGAATTGCTTGAGCCCAGGAGCTGGAGACCAGCCTAGGCAACATAGGGAGACCTCGACTCTATAACAATAAAAAATAAAATAGACTGGGCACAGTGGCTCAAGCCTGTAATCCCAGCACTTCAGGAGGCTGAGGCGAGAGGATTGCCTGAGTCCAGGGGTTTGAGACCAGCCTGGGCAACTTGGTGAGATCTCGTCTCTACAATAAATAAAAAAAATTAGCAGGGCATGGTAGCATGTGCCTGTAGTCCCAGCTACTTGGAAGACTGAGGCAGAAGGATTGCCTGAGCCCAGCAGGTCGACGCTGAGGTGGCTGTGAGCATGCTCCTGCACTCCAGCCTGGGCGAAAAAGTGAGACTCCAACTCAAAAATTTAAATTAATTTAAATTAAATTTTTTTTAATTTGCTGGGCATAGTGGTGCACACCTGAAGTTCCAACTACTCAGGGAGCTAAGGTAGAAGGATCGCCTGAGCCCAAGAGGTCAAGGCTGTGGTGAGCCATGATCGTGCGCCACTGCACTCCAGCCTGGGTGACAGAGTAAGACTCCCAACTGAAAAACAGATAAAATGAAATGCAACTTATTTTAAAAGTGTTACTTGCCGGGCGCAGTGGCTCATGCCTATAATCCCAGCACTTTGAGAGGCCAAGGTGAGAGGATTGCCTGAACTCATGGGTTCAAGACCAGCCTGGGCAACTTGCTGAGATCTCATCTCTACAATAAATTTAAAAAATAGCTGGGTGTGATGGTGCATGCCTGTGGTTCCAGCTACTTGGAAGTCTGAGGTGGAAGGATCGCCTGAGCCCAGCAGGTTGAGGCTGCGTTGGCTGTGAGTGTGCCACTGCACTAAAGCCTGGGCGAAAGAGTGAGACTCCAACTCAAAAAAAAAAAGTGTTATTCGATTCGGATAGCATTTTTGTCATGTGCTTTCACATTTAAAAGGTGTTCAACATATAGATACAGTTAAGGGTTTTGACTTTTAAAGTGTTCTCATGATCTCAAGTGTAGGTAGGGAAGTTCTGGTCTGGTGCTTTCCAGAGGCCTTCAAGCTCTGATAGTTTGGCTTCTATTGCCCTAAATCTCACCACCGTGCTGTGCGCGGTTGTCTGCAGCCCTCAGGGAGCACACAACAGAGGGAGAAGGAAGAGAGACAGGATGGGGGAGGACAGAGCAGGGACTAGGAGACTTGGGGAGGAGGGGTCTTTTCCCCAGGAATGCTTTGCTGTGGCATCCATCATTCAGAGGCACAGTGACTCTGGCTGACATGGGATATGCCTGGGATGTCAGAACCAGAGCAGCCACTCCAGCCCTGTCTTTCACCCCACACAGCCCCTTCCCGCCTCTCAACTCACAGCAAACTTGTCATAGAGCCGGTAAGTGAGCAGGGGATCTGGCAGCTCCCTGAAGTAGGCCTTGCACAGGGAGGAGACACAGTGGATGTCCTGGAGGTAGACATCCCGCCGCAGGTCTGGCTTCCGCTCTGCCTCAAACTCCTGCCTGGGGAGGTGCAGAGTGGTCAGGAGTGGCAGGGGTCGGGGAGAGGGTAGTTGGGAGCTACAGAGATAGGCTTCCCATTAGGGTCAGGGGTCAACATGTGTGTGCACTTGCATGGAGAACATTTAGACGTGCATATATGTGAGGTAGCAAAAGTAAGGTGTGGCATGTGTTGACATGTGGACGTGAATGTGAGGATGACATGTATGGGAAGCAGATCTATGCATGAACAGCAATGTGTCGCTGCAGATGTGAGTCGGGATGCAGAGAGATGTAGGATTCACTAGAGAAGCAGAAGACGTGGCCGGGAGCTGTGGTTCACACCTGTAATCTCAGCACTTTGGGAGGCTGAGGTGGGGGAATCACTTGAGACCAGGAGTTCAAGACCCAGCTAGGAATCACAGCGAGATCCCATCTCTCTATATTAAAAATATATAAAATATAAATTTAAACAAACACAAAAAGGAAGATGGAACTAAATGTGTGCATCTAGGTATGTGTAAAAATGGGTATGTGTAACGTAGATAGAAACATAACTGAAAATCTTCATGACCTTGGATTAGGCAACAGTTCTTTAAAAATGACACTAATGCCGGGCTCAGTGGCTCAGCCTGTAATCCCGCGCCTTTGGGAGGCTGAGGTGAGTGGATTGCCTGAGCTCGCGGGTTCGAGACCCACCTGGGCAGCGAGACCTCATCTCTACAATAAATAAAAAAAATCAGCCAGGCGTGGTAGCACATGCTTGTAGTTCCAGCTACTTGGAAGGCTGAGGCGGAAGGATAGCCGGAGTCCAGCAGGCGAGGCTGCAGTGGCTGGGAGCGGCCACTGCACTCCAGTCTGGGCGACAGAGTGAGACTCCAACTCAAAAAAATAATAATAATAATAATAATAAAAATGACACTAATGCCTGAGCCGGAGGGTTCATGACCCACCTGGGCAACTTGGCGAGACCTCATCTGTACAATAAATCAAAAAATCAGCCGGGCGTGGTAGCGCATGCCTGTAATTCCAGCTACTCGGAAGGCTGAGGCGGCAGGATCGCCGAAGCCCAGCAGGTCGAGGCTGCAGTGGCTGGGAGCGGCTACTGCAATCCAGTCTGGGTGACGGAGTGAGACTCCAACTCAAAAAAAAACCAAAATAAATAAATAATAAAAAAATAAAAATGACACTAAAAGCCGGGCTCGGTGGCTCAGCCTGTAATCCCGCGTTTTGGGAGGCTGAGGTGAGTGGATTGCCTGAGCCCGCAGGTTTGAGACTCGCCTGGGCAACTTGGCGAGACCTCATCTCTACAATAAATCAAAAAATTAGCCAGGCGAGGTAGCACATGCCTGTAGTTCCAGCTACTAGGAAGGCTGAGGCAGAAGGATCCCTGGAGCCCAGCAGGTCGAGGCTGCAGTGGCCGGGAGCGGCCACTGCACTCCAGTCTGGGCGACAGAGTGAGACTCCAACTCAAAATAAATAAATAAATAAATAAATAAAATAAAATAAATAAAAATAAAAATGACACTAAAAGCACAAGCAACCACAGGAAAAAAAATAGATAAATTGAACATCAAAATTTTAAATGGCGTCAAAAAACACTATCAAAAAAGTAAAGACAACCCACAGAATGGGAGAAAATGTTTGCAAATCACATATCTGATGGGGTCTAGTATTCAGGTCATATAAAGAACTCTCATAACTCAATAATTAAAAAGACAACCCAATCAAAAAATTGGCAAAGGAGTTGAATAGATATAACTTCAGAGAAGATATGCAAATGGCTAAAAAGCACATGCAAACATGTTCAACATCATAAGCTATTGGAGAAACTCAAATATAAATAACAATGAAATATCAGTTTATAGGCCAGGTGTGGTAGCTCATGCCAGTGGTCCCAGCACTTTAGGAGATGGAGGTGAGAGGATTGTCTCAGCCCAAGGGATTTGAGACCAGCCTGGGCAACTTGGGGAGACCTCATCTCTACAATAAACAAGAAAAATTTGCCAGGTATGGTGGCACACGCCTGTAGTTCCACCTACTTGGAAGGCTGAGGCGGAAGGATCGCCGGAGCCCAGCAGGTCGAGGCTGCAGTGGCAGTGAGTGTGCCGCTGCACTCCTGCCTGGGCGACAGAGTGAGACTCCAACTCAAAAAAAAAAGGAAATATCAGTTTACATTCACCAGGATGGCTACAATGAGAAAGACACACAGTAACTATTGTGTAGAAATTAAAGCCCTCACATTGCTGCTGGTGGGAATGTAAAATGATACAGCTGCTATGAAAAACAGTTTGGCATTTCCTTAAAAACTTCTGAGCCTGTAATCCCGCACCTTTGGGAGGCTGAGGTGAGTGGACTGCCTGAGTCCGCGGGTTCGAGACCCACCTGGGCAGCGAGACCTCATCTCTACAATAAATCAAAAAATCAGCCGGGCATGGTAGCACATGCCTGTAATTCCGGATACTGGGAAGGTTGAGGCGGAAGGATTGCCGGAGCCCAGCAGGTCGAGGCTGTGGTGGCCGGGAGCGGGCACTGCACTCCAGTCTGGGCGACAGAGTGAGGCTCTAACTCAAAAAAAAAAAAAAAACTTCAACGTAGAGTTAACATATGACCCAGCAATTCCACTCCTAGGTATATTGAAAAAATATATGGCACATATATTTAATAATTGAAAATATATGGCACATCCACACAAAAACTTGTACATGAATGCTTATTATTATGCAGAATTATTCATAACAGCTAAAAAGTGGAAATGACCCAAATAGCCATCAACTGGAGAATGGGTAAACAAAACATGACACAGCTAAACAATGGAATCGTATTCAGCCATAGAAGGGAGTTTATGCTACACCATCCATGAACCTTGAAACTATCCTAAGTGAAGAGAGCCAGGCACACAAAGTCACATACTATATGGCTCCATTTACATGAAATATCCAGAAGAGGCAAATCCATAGTGACAGAAAAGAGATGAGTGGTCACCGGGGGCTTAGTGAAGGGACGTGATGAAATGTTCTGGAATTAGATAGCGGTGACGGTTGCACAACCATGTGAATATACTAAAAACCGCTGAGTTGTCTGTTTTTATTTTTCTATTTTTATTTGTTTTGAGTTGGAGTCTCACTCGGTTGCCCAGACTGGAGTGCAGTGGCCGCTCCCGGCCCCCGCAGCCTCGACCCGCTGGGCTCCGGCGATCCTTCCGCCTCAGCCTTCCGAGTAGCCGGAATTACAGGCGCGTGCTGCCACACCCGGCTGATTTTTGATTTATTGTAGAGATGAGGTCTCGCTGCCCAGGCGGGTCTCGAACCCGCGGGCTCAGGCCATCCACTCACCTCAGCCTCCCAAAGGCGCGGGATTACAGGCTGAGCCACCGAGCCCGGCTGAGTTGTCTGTTTTTAAATGGAAAATGTTAGGACATGTGAATTACAACAAGATTTTTAAAAAGCTGGGTAGGTATCTTGGGAATGGTGGGGCGGGTGGAGACTGCGTGCATGCATGCGCACACAAGGCAGGGGTGGCAAGGGCTGATCTCCACCTTTCCCCGGGTACCTCAGAGCACCTCCCTACTAGGACAGGGCCTGGTGTGGATGCTCCTCCCCGGCTCCTCCATCCTTCCTCTTTATTCTCCTTACCACCTTCACCTTGGCCCTCCGGCTCCTGGCCTCCTGGCACAGAGCCCTCCCCCCGTGTTCGACTCACCGGAGCTTCTGGATGTTGGAGGAGACCCCTGAGAGGCGGTAGATCCCGTCCACCACGCCATACTCCTCAACAAACTCGGCACAGCTCTTCAGCACCTGGGGCACTGGGACACAGATGGGGCGGAGACAAGAAATCAGGAGGTCTGGATGGACAAAGACTGCAGGGGTCTGAGAAATGGGAGCTTCAGGGAAAGGCCTTGGGGAGGTGGAAGGCAGAGCTCACCGAATAAAAACTTGTCAGAAAGATGTCTACAAGCCGGGCTCGGTGGCTCAGCCTGTAATCCCGCGCCTTTGGGAGGCTGAGGTGAGTGGATGGCCTGAGCCCGCGGGTTCGAGACCCGCCTGGGCAGCGAGACCTCATCTCTACCATAAATCAAAAATCAGCCGGGCGTGGTAGCGCATGCCTGTAATTCCGGTTACTCAGAAGGCTGAGGCGGAAGGATCGCCGGAGCCCAGCAGGTCGAGGCTGCGGGGGCCGGGAGCGGCCACTGCACTCCAGTCTGGGCGACAGAGTGAGACTCCAACTCAAAAAAAAAAAAAAGTTTTCTACAGATCGTCAGCTCCAGCCTGCCAACCTCCACAGCATCTCTGCCCACTGGTCCTAGAACCTTGGGAGGAACCCTTCCTGGGAGGGGAGCTCACTGCATCCCCAGACTACCTAGTCAGTTCTTAATTTAAAAAGGTCTGTGGCTGGAGTGGTAGCTCATGCCAGTAATCTTAGCACTTTGGGAGGCCGAGGTGGGAGGATTGCTTGAGCCCAGGAAGTCGAGACCAGTCTGGACAACACAGTGAGACCCCATCTCTTCAAAAAACAATAAAAATATATTTAAAAAAAAAAAAAAAGAAGGAAAGGGCCGGGCACGGTGTCTCAAGCCTGTAACCCCAGCACTTTGGGAGGCAGAGAGGAGAGGATTGCCTTAGCTCAGGGGTTCGAGACCAGCCTGGGCAACTTGGCAAGACCTCATCTCTACAATAAATTTTAAAAAAATTAGCCGGCGTGATAGCACGCACCTATAGTTCCAGCTACTTGGAAGGCTGAGGCAGAAGGATCACCTGAGACCAGCAGGTCGAGGCTGCCGTGGCTGTGAGCGTGCCACTGCGCTCCAGCCTGGGCGACAGAGTGAGACTCTGACTCAAAAAAAAAAAAAAAAAAAGTAAAGAAAGGCCTGCTATTGTTTAACTGAAAGTTGTCTCCCTGTAATAACTAGTTGCTACTAGTAATTCAGAATTTTTAAAGGAGCAGCAATCCAGCTGGGAGGGGAAGCAGAGTCGAGGACTGGTCTTAAAAGTATTTTCACATAACACTCTACTAAAAATGAAGGAACATTTGCTGTCCTGACTAAAATGGAACAGGGCTGATGGGAAATATTTGGAAGCCTCGCCTCTCTGGAATGAAAGCTCATGGCTATTAGTTCTGCCGTAGGAACCCAAACAAAATAGCAACAGACTTCAGCTAGGCCAGCTCAGGAGAGAAACACCCACGTGCCGAGCACTGCACCACCTGCTTTAAATGTGTTCTAGCATCTAGCTTTGTAAATTAGGCATTCTAGTTCTCATTTTACAGATGGCAAAACTGACAGTCAAAGAAGTAACTACCTGATTAATCCTGACAGTAACAGAAGAATAAACTAATTAATTGATTCAAATTAAATTAAGGTTGGGCGCAGTGACTCAAGCCTGTAATCCCAGCACTTTGGGAGACCAAGATGAGAGGATTGCCTGAGCCCAGGAGTTTGAGACCAGCCTGGGCAACTTGGTGAGACATTGTCTCTACAATAAACCACAAAAACACCCCGGGCGTGGTGGCATGCATCTGCAGTTCCAGTTACTTGGAAGACTGAAGCGGAAGGATCACCTAAGCCCAGCAGGTCAAGGCTGTGGTGGCTGTGAATGTGCCACTGCCCTCCAGCCAACAGAGTAAGATTCCAACTCAAAAAATTCAATTCAATTCAATTATTTTTTTAAAAAGTAACAAATGTCCAGCAGTACTAAACTAGAACCAGGATTCAAACTGCAGAGTACAAAAAGCTGTATTCTTTCTCCCAAATCCAGGCCTCTCCTCTGGTCACTAGATGGCAAGTTAGTTACTTAAGGACATAGTCTAAGTGTGACCCATCTAGCATTCCTCATATTATCTGACATGATACTTCAGTCACAGCGGATCCTCATATACCATGTGTAAACTCCCATCACCTCAAAGCTGCGTCCCTGAGCTTTCCAGAGCACATCCCTGCATTAGATCCTTTGCTGTGCACACACCCTGCTCTCCCATCTTGATCCCCATTGCTTACCTTACAGATACAAAATAAGAAACTCCTCAACACTGTATGTGAAGGGAATTTTTTTTTTAAACCGGAATTATCTTTTTTTTTTTTTTTTGAGTAGGAGTCTCACTCCATCGCCCAGGCTGGACTGCAGTGGCGTGCCCATGGCCACCTTAGCCTCAACCTGCTGGGCTCAGGAGATCCTTCCACACTGGCTTTCCAAGTAGCTGGAACTACAGGCGTGAGCCACCACACCCAGCTAAATTTTTTCTTTTTAATTGTAGAGACAAGGTCTTGCCATGTTGCCCAGGCTGGTCTCAGGCAATCCTCTCACCTCAGTTTCCCAAAGAGCTGGGATTATAGGTGTGAGCCACCACGCCTGGCTCGGAATTATCTTTTGGAGGGCAGACCCCTTGTAGTACAGGCTTCCCCCCTTAGGTGAGTGTTCTAGAAACCCGCCAATATCAGTGTACCAGCTAGGGTTGTTGTGAGAGGCTACGTTAGGTTTCAGTGAATTTTGGGGGAAGATTCTTTCAACACATTTGCCCATTTTATTTTGAGAAAGCAGGATTTATTGAGTGGACAGAAAAGCTCCCACAGTGGGAGGGGACCCGAGGGGATTGCCTATTTTAAATTTTCTTTTCAGAGTAGGAGTTTCACTCCACTGCCCAGGCTGGCGTGCAGTGACATGCTCACGGCCACCACAGCCTCGACCCGCTGGGCTCCGGCGATCCTTCCGCCCCAGCCTTGCAAGTAGCTGGAACTACAGGCATGCTACCACGCCCAGCTTATTTTTTGATTTATTGTAGAGATGAGGTCTCACCAAGTTGCCCAGACTAGTCTCGAACCCCTGAGCTGAGACAATCCTCTCGCCTCTGTCTTCCAAAGTGAGCCACCGCACCCCGCCTGCCCATTTTATGGTGGGTGATTTACAAGCACCTGCCCACACTGTGCTGGGTGTTCAGCAGTTTTTTACCAAAAATGGCATGACCTCCATGTCCCACCCTCCCTATTCACCAGATCTCACCCTGAACAACCTTTTCTTGTTGTTTCCCCAATGAAAATCAGCCTCAAAAGGAAACATTTTGCCCCTCTGGAAGAGGTGAAGCAAAAAACAGCGGAAGCACTAAAAGGCATCAAAACTGATGAGTTCAAACAGTGTTTTGAGCAGTGGGAAAAAGCATCTCAATAGATATATTGTATCCAACGAAGAGTACTTTGAAGGTTACTGAAGTTTAATCATGAAGAACAAATACATAATTTTAAATAAATAAACTCCAGGGTTTTTTGTGTCCCCACTTGTATAAGACCCTTCACAAACTAGGTCCCACCGCCATTCTAGACTCAGCTCCAGCCATTTCCTTCCCAAATCCTATGATTCAGTGCTTTGCTAGTCCATGAACAAACCTTGGTACCATCACTTATGTTATTTCCTTGCCTAGAAATATCCTACCCTTTGCCTGGTAAACCCCTACACATTCCTCAAATCACATCTTAGACTGGGCATGGGTGGCTAAAGTGGGAAGATTGTTTGAAAATGGGAGTTCAAAACCAGCCTGGGCACCACGAGACCCCATCTCTACAAAAAATATTAAAAATTAGCCTTAGCTGGGCTCAGTGGCTCAGCCTGTAATCCCGTGCCTTTGGGAGGCTGAGGTGAGTGGATTGCCTGAGCCCGCAGGTTTGAGACCCGCCTGGGCAACTTGATGAGACCTCAGCTCTACAATAAAATCAAAAAATTAGCTGGGCATGGTAGCGTGCGCCTGTAGTTCCAGCTGCTTGGAAGGCTGAGGCAGAAGGATTGCTGGAGCCCAGCAGGTCGAGGCTGCGCGGCCGGGAGCAGCCACTGCACTCCAGTCTGGGCGACAGAGTGAGACTCCAACTCAAAAAAAACCCAAAAAAAACAAAAACAAAAATTAGCCTTGAGCCGGGCTCGGTGGCTCAGCCTGTAATCCCGCGCCTTGGGAGGCTGAGGTGAGTGGATTGCCTGAGCCCGTGGGTTTGAAACCCGCCTGGGCAACTTGGCGAGACCTCATCTCTACAGTAAATCAAAATGAGCCGGGTGTGGTAGCGCACACCTGTAGTTCCAGCTACTTGGAAGGCTGAGGCCGAAGGATCACCGGAGCCCAGCAAGTCAAGGCTGCGGTGGCCGGGAGTGGCCACTGCACTCCAGTCTGGGCGACGGAGTGAGAAGTGAGACTCCAACTCAAAAAAAAAAAAAAATTAGCCTTGAACCCAGGAGTTCCAGGCTGCAGCGAGCTATGATCACGCCACTGCACTCCAGCCTGGGCAACAGAGAGAGAGATCCTGTCTTAAAAAAATAAATTAGATCGGGTGTGGTGGCTCAAGCCTGTAATCCCAGCACTTTGGAAGGCTGAGGTGAGAGGATTGCCTGATCTCAGGGGTTCGAGACCAGCCTGGGCAACTTGATGAGACCTCGTCTCTACAATAAACCAAAAAATATAAGCCGAGCATGGTAACGCACACTTGAAGTTCTAGCTGTAGCTAGAGGTGGAAGGATCGCCTGAGACCAGTGGGTCGATGCTACGGTGACAGAGTGAGACTCCAACTAAAAAAAAAAAAATTAAATAAGAAAAAAAAAGCAATTGCTTTGTTTATATCTGTATTGTAATTTCCATAGTCTTTGTTCATATTTGTATTCTAGTCCTTACTCCTTTGTTATGATTGGCTTATTTTGTGTGTGTGTGTGTATATATCCCGACAAACAGCATCTTTCAGGCCTCTAGCACAGTTTGAAACAGAGCAGGCATTCAATACATGTTTGTTAAATGACTCAGTGAATTACCTGTCAGTTATGAGAGTCAGTGACATCCCTTGCA